ACACACACACACACACACACACACACACACACACACACACACACACACACGTGCTGCAGTGTACTGCAGTGGATATATTACACAGAAATAGGATTTAAATCTATAGGAATCATTATAGACTTCTAACTAACCCGAAATAAAGAAACTCACCGGAAAATATTTCCGCTCACTAAAATATGGCGGTGGACCATCTCATCGAATTGTTATTCGATTAAAAAGATGCTGTGAGCTTGTGCTCTGCGTCTGGTTTCCTGCTCCATTATCACAAATCACTCGCAGGAACATTTCCCCACTTATCATGTAGACATCCAGACCGATCTGGTGGGACATAATGTCTTCAGTTTGAATAACTCCTTTAACACCACTTATACAGGCAGAGAGGTTTKTAAAGGAAAGAGGAAATCAACCACTGTGCGACGACAAGACAACATGGCTGAAGAATGAAACTCGCGGCTTAAAGCTGCAGTTCCTCTCTTGACCACTAGATGGAGGCTCCAAGTAAATCACAACTGTTAGATTATGATGCAGCTTTAAACCAGATATTTATGTATTCTCTAGGTTGGTGGTGTCCAGTCCTGGTCCTCGAGGCCGACTCTCCTGCATGTTTTATATACGTCCCTGTTTTGGGACACCTGATTTGAATGAAAAGGCTTCTGCAGAGCTTAAAGATTTGCTGAAAAGCAATGAAACATCTAAAATAGGCAGGATAGTAGCCCCTCGATATCCTGGAATGGACACCGCTGCTTTAGGTTGTGCAACCATTCTGTGCATCGTAGGTTTACGTGAAACAATGATATTCTCCAGAACGTATTGATTCAATGTTTGGCAATTTCTCTCACACCAAGAACAAGTACATAAATAGTGCCCGGTTTGTATTAATAAGTCCTCATTATAAAGACAAGAAAACTAATAATGTAGCTTTCATTCAGTTTCTATCATCTACGGTCTCAGAATGGACCAGAGGTGTGGAAAGCTACAGCGATACAGAGAACTCTGACAACTGTTGTGACATCCTGGAACTGAAAATAATTTAAAAAAAAATGTCAAAGTGCTTATTATCCCATTATCATATCTTTATAAAATAGTAGCTGTTACCTCAAACAAGTGAGACACTCGCACAATTCAGTTGACTGGTGCACTAATAAACATTTACAGGGTCCTGTGTCTTCATTATGATGAAGTTGTGCGAGAAACAAGCGCATTTAAGACCTGTCTTTTTTTTTTTGTTTTGTTTTGTTTTTTTACACTGTTACCACAGGCTGTGGATGTGTAGCTGAACATGCTGTGTACTCTTTGTCTGTCTCATGAGGTTGAATCTTTAAATTGTAAATGGTACATATAATAGAAGGAAATTTACACCTACTGTTAAAGAATGCCTGTAAATATAACGCTGTATCATAGGTTGGGATATATTATCATCTGTAGCGTGTAGATTTTTTGTAATTCTTATCCTTGCACAGATAGTAGCGGAAGAATAAAATGACAAAATCTCAGCTGTTTCTCAGCATCATTTTGTTCGTCTCGGGTCTTCGTCTGTGGAAAAAAATTGATATTTGTGTGAGATGTCGTGCTTTGAATATGTGTGGGAATGACTCTCAGCTACTACCACATCAAATTTTAGCTCCATGTCTGTAAAATTAACTGAGTTTTACACTTTTAGGTGTTGGCTAACATTAGTTAGCTGTGGCAGCCAKCTTGAATTGGGTTGGCTCCAGATGTAAATCAGTYGTAGAGGTATGGTCAGTGGTTATTTCCTGAAAGTTTAATTAAAATCTGTGACATGGTTTGGAAGATGTTTTGCTAACAGACAACAGACGCCTATGATAAGTTGGGGATCAATGTCAGCTACTGTCACATAAATCTTTAGCTCAATATCTCTAAAATTGACTGAGTTTTAAAGCCTTTTTTGTTTTCTTTCAGCTGACTGTGGCAGCCATCTTGAGTCAAAAAAGTAATCACTTGAAGATGTTCATCAAATGATTACTTTCTGCAGTGTTTTACATTTTTTACACGCACAGACAACCAKTAGAATAACTAATGGCTCTCTGCTGCCACCTGCTGGTCAATTAAAATTCATGCAGCAAACAAGAATGAACAAAATGTTCTCATAAAGTGTGTATTATCAATATTACATAAAATGTCAGTGTTTTATCATTAAATATGGTGAATGCGATAAAACATGATGATTAAACTGTTTCATATGAAATGGACTTGTGCACGTTCATCATGCCCTCTGGATGGAGGCATTGTCCTCCTAGTATTGAAATGCTTCACTTTGGTAAATGCATGAAAGGGTTGGTGTTCAGTCTGTTCCTTCTTTTTCTCATCCATTTAAACATAAGAAACTGAACTTAAGGCAAAACTTGGCACTGGGAATGTAAGGAGAGGTAAGCACACATGTGCACCTGTTTTCTATAAACAGGTCAGCAAAGCCTCCAGTGGATGGCGTGACAAATGGGAGGTGATGAAAATAGGATGGAACAAAGTTCTCTTTGTGTTCACCTGCAGAGGGTTACTTCTGAAAGGTACAGTTTTTTAAGTGTTTTTTATTTATTTATTTATTTGATAATGTCTTAGAGGGGGCTGTTTTTAGAGCAGATATGCCTCAATGAAAGAGTTGGAGGTTCAATTCCATCAGTGTGCAATCATATTAACAAAGTGTCCCTGGGCAGACCACTGAAGCCCTAATWACCTCTGATGTTGTCATGTATGAATGCAATCTGAAGCACTGATTAGATTCTACAGAAACAGTCGGTTTGGTCTTAGCTTTGCTCAGACTAGCCGTTAGCCTGTCTGGTCTGAATTATTTTCTTCAATTTGAGTTGTTTTTTTCTACAAAAAGATGTCAACAAAGAGATATTAATAATCATAACGTTTTTCAAATTGTAAAATCTCAAAACCCTTTTAGACACAGTTTATAAAAGCTGCATAGACAATAACAGGCCATAGGTGTATAATTTTTCCTACAAAAGTTAGGTAGGTGCTTTGTTTAAAAAGAAAAATCAGTTTGACTTCTTTTCCTCCTTCTTCCAGGACCAGCTCTCACTGTCAGCTTCAATTCATTTACTTGTGTTTATTGAGATTTAAGTGAGAAAGGAATCAGATTAGTAGGTCCAACAAGGCCTGGACGGCTCAGAGAGGAGGGAGCGGACTGCCTGTAGACAAGCGCTCAGCTCTGTGGTGATGGCTGCGTGGTTCAAAAAGGTCTTTTCATTAAAGTGCAGATATGATAAGACCAGCAGGGTTGAAGCTGACACAAGACTGAAGATGGTGCTTTTTTTTCCTGTTATCCCAGACAGCAGAACAAAATGACACCCAATCATGAAAAAAATCATTGTGTGTGCGTGCGTGCGTGCGTGCGTGCGTGCGTGTGTGTGTGTCTGTGTGTGTGTGTGTGTGAGTGTGAATCATAATAAGAGCTGCTGTGCTGAACTATGTGTGTTCAGTGTGAATGCAGATGGAACAAATTAGTTTTGCTTTTTACCTTTCTTAAAAAAGAAATGTATGTTACAAAAAACAGCTTAATAGAATTTATTACTTTAAAAGAAACAATACCGTCTGTTTAATTTATGAAGCAGTTTCTTTTACATCCAGTCCATTGATCCAGAGGTTGAGGTTTCTCACTTAAATGAAACTTTTGCTCTTTCTTATTGAAAGGTAACACCATGGTAAGCATTTCTTAAAACCT